CCAACAAGATTTCAGTTCAGAAAGTTCGATAAAAATATGAATTATATGCTGGGCGTGGTGGCGCACGCCTTTAATCCCAGCACTCGGGAGGAAGAGGCAGGCGGATCTCTGTAAGTTCAAGGCCAGCCTGCTCTACATAGTGAGTTCCAGGGCAGCTGGGGCTACAGGGAGACCCTGTCTCAAAAAGACCAAAAAAAAAAAAAATTATAAATTTGTTAAGATGAACTGGAACTAATGAAAATAGAAGCTAATAGATGAGGTAGCACATGGAAACTACATACTTCATTCTTTTTTTTCCTATAAACTTAAAATTGCACAAAAATAGTGTTTTCAGGGGATGTAGAGATGGCTTAGCAGTTATAAGCACTTGTTCTTCCAAAGGACCCAGGTTCTGTTCCCAGCACCCACATGGCAGCTAACACCTGTCTTAAACTCGCAGTTCCAGGGGAACCAATGTTCTCTTCTGGCTTCTGTGAGCACTACACACATGTGGTGCACTTACGTACATGCAGGCAAAATACTCATACACATAAAATAAAAATAAGATCTTTTTTAATAACTCTATTCATTAAAAGAAACAGAAAATAGAAATTAGGGATGAAAGTGAGAACTATCCTCTTTCACTTAACTCCACAGCCTCACCAACAAGAAACTGCATTAACCACTTCAGCCCTGGAAGACATAACCTCTTCTAGAGCCACTGTGTATCTATGCCAATCATCAGACAATCAAAGAGGATTAGTACACCTCTTTTATGAATGCTTTATTAATTGATTCAGCTTGCTATGTGACTATGTGGCTATATAATTACATATTTTCTCACTAAATGCAATACAAATAATTTCAGAGCAAAGCCAGCATGAAGCACAGTGCCTTTAACATAAGAGTAATACATCTAGCTATTTGCAACTTAGTTTATCAAACTCCAAGTGCTCAATATTTGCTGTTCAACTGCAAAATGATGATACCAACTACTTACAACAAGGGATCGTTAGAAGTTGAAATACAAAGTGTTTTCCTCCCTCTGTATTTCATATATGCTTGAAGTGGGTGAATTAACTTTTTTCTTTCTAACTTGGGTTCTCTACTTAAAAATGGACAGCATTTTTTGCATTTGACTATAGAGAGACAAGAGGCTCTAAGAATGGCAACTAACATGCAGAGCAGGAATGAGTGTAGTTCCTTTTATCTGTTTTTCCTCCTCCCATGGTTATACAAGGTTAGTGGCTTTCTGTAACAAAAAGTCTTCCCGGCTGCAGAGCACCTGACTAGCCAGGACAAATGTACCTTTTGTCTTCATCAAAGAAGCTTCTTTTTGCAACAGCTGGAGACTATTACAGAGTTCCAGGGCTGGTCAAACGCATCTTCAATGCAATGTCTACACATAGGACAAACTTATGTCTTATCTCTCACCAGAGAAGTTTCCTTATGCAACAGATGGTGATTAACACAGAAACTCACAATTAGCCAATGTACAGAGAACAAGAGTCCACAGTGTTTATCCCTGAATAGGTTACTTATATCAAACTTCTGCCTCCAAGGCTCAGATATCATTGTAGAAGAAGAGGTGGAAAAACTGTAAGAGCCAGAGGGGGTGGATGACCACAAGTACACAGAATTTTCCAGACATCTGGTCTGTTACTCATATAACCTCATAGCAATGGGACCACATGTACAAGTTCCACATAAGATCAAACCAGACAAAATCCTACTATAGACATGGGGAAGTAGATAAAAAAAATCCCCATAACCTAAGGAACTCCGGGAAATTGATGGCTGCTGGGAGGGGGAGGGAGCCTTACAGGGATGAGACTCTTGGTGGGCCCAGTAGATGGATCCACATTTGGGAACACATGTGAGACTCTCTAGGCCTTATTTTATATACATACATGTGTGTATGTGTGTGTGTATGTGTATATGTGTGTGTATCAGAATACAATAAATTGGGAAGTGGGTAGTGGGGGAAGGTACAGATAGGGGAGGGCATCTAAATACCACCAAATCATATGTATGTATGAAAATTGCAAAAATTCAACAAAAAGACTTCCCAAACAGAAGGCTACCTACCTATTTACCTCTATGCAAAACTCAAACCAAAAACCAGATATGGCTAATGAAGGTGCCCAATACCAACATCTATCAACAACAACAGTGCTGTACTGTTGGTACCTCACTAGCCTTCCCACCCATAAATTTGCAGACCATCATTGGAGGTAGTTGAGGCTATAAAAGTTGTCCCCCACCTCCAAGAATAGTAATTCCTGTGATTTTTACATCAAACTCCTAAGAGAGCTAAAAGTCAAACCAACATTCTCTCCAGTTATCAGCTTCAATTTCTGCACATTCCATATCACAGCTTTAGAAGATTAAATGTGATCTTTGGCAACTCATCAAGAGATGCAAGTCTGGGATCTCACTAATGACTTTAACTATGTTCTATCTTCCTTTGACCAGTTTTAGAGGTTCTAATGTCACATAACAATGGCTGCCACACCCTACTCTACCACATACCTTGCTGTGTATTGGAAGCATTAGACAGGCTTCCATGTCTAGTCATTATCAACAAACAAATAGGCCAGCTGGGAAAATAGCCAAAAACCTGAGGTTGGAGAACTTTCAAGGTAGGTAAGCATTCCAGCTCTGTATTTAATAAAGCATGTTTGAGCAATATAGATTATAAACTAGGAGTAAAAGTCATCAAAGGGCTATTAATATTATTAGATTTGCATCATCTTTCAAAAATCAGAGAACAGACTTGGATTTGTTTTCTGCATTCACAATCCATCAGCCTCTTTTCTGTTCTTACTCATCCCTTAACATAGACCCCATTCCTCCTTAAATGCATCCAAAGACATTCAAGCACTGGCTGTCTTCAACTTAAAAACTCTACATAACACTGTTTTCTTGCCACTCCCAGTTTTTGGTCATGTCAATATCCTTTTTAACTATGTTATGATACTCTTCAAAAAACTGAATTGCTGTCTAAATTCTATTGTGCCTAGGTCTAAAAGACCAATACACAAATCTACCTCCTCCACAAGTGATATCCCTAAGAATCTGAGGTCCGGTAACAATGGTGTTTTAAAAGCCCATGGAGGTCAACCAAAGAAGACAGCACTCCAACTCTGACAGCACCCTGACTCTGCCCTGTCATCTCCATTTTTAATAGATATTTTTAAATTATCACCATTTGTGTCATGCCTTTCTTTTGCAAGAAGTCATTCTTTCTCTCCTAGTCTCCAGGAGTCCTTTTGTCAACTCCTAATGAACACTGCCTCCTTTCTCAGATTAAAGTCCTCTTCTAATGTACTGATTCTTAGTAAGTTCTATTCATCTAACTATCTCCATTTTTAGTATTTTCTAACCTGACTTGGGTCTCAAACCTCTGCTTGATAGTGATTTTATATCTACGTGCCGACCACTAACTATAGTTCCCTTCACACATTCTGATAAGACATTTAAGATTATGTAGACCTCTAGACAGATATTGACAAACTTTACATGCTTGTTTACTAAAGTTAATAAATCGTAGGGCTAAAAAAATGCAATTTTAAGAAGTTATCAGATGACATTCTGCTGGTCCAAGTACCATACTCTGAGAAGCAGACCTCTGTGAATCTGATAAGGCTATGAAGAAATGCACTGTATGTACACAATTTTGTATATAAATTCAAAAGGCTCACAGATATTCACTCATAACTATTCTCCGTTCTGTATTTCATTCTAAGGAATGTTTAAGATGCTTCCTGACTCAATTGAAGCACTTACTACAGTAATGAAACTCAGTGTATGCAAACACACCTAAGAATGAGGGTGAGTACCTGACAGAGATAAGTCAGTTCTGCACAATCTCAGAGCCTCTTTTATAGTTGTGTGATAATTTTTCTATACTTATAATATAAATTTCCAGAAACAAGAAACTCATCATTTAGTATTTAACAGGCTTCTTTGGAATGGCTCAAACAAAACCTTTCAGGTAGAGATGATAGAATGAACATAAACAAGGGTGTGACCTCTGGTAGGTTAACCAAACTCCAGGGGCAGGTTGCAGACCCAAGAGCATTTGGGCAACACAAACTAGACTGGATAGTTAAAAACAACAACAAACTCATGAAGTTGGATGGGTAGGGAGGCAGGGCTGGATCTCGGAGGAGCTGGGGGAAGGAATACAATAAATAAAAAACATTGTATAACATTCTCAATGAATAAAAATATTTTCACATAAATGACAAGTTTCAACTGCCATTGATGCTTCCTGACTTGAGAAAAGCACTTATTACAGTAATGAAACTCAATGTATACAAATATCTAAGAATGAGGACTCAAACCCTGATCTGTTTTTCCTAAAGGATGACTACTAAGCTTGAAAATGGGGTTTGGGGTGTTTTTGAGCATTTCATACATGAGTATTTTATTTACAACATTTCCACCCTTCCCCTCACCCCCTCCAACTTTCCACATGAATTCCAATTAGTCAGCATGTCATTATTCATTCATAATTCCTATATATACTCAACTGTCATTTCTTCAATTCAAGGCAGTATAAACTCTTTAACAAATAGCCATACTTCTTTCCTCATTCCCTTCTCTGTAGTTCCCAAAAACATTCCAAAATTCACTAAAAAAACAAGTTATACATTTTTTCCTTCCCCAAAATGGCTTGCCTAAAAATATATGTTGCCAACAAAGCAAACTCTTTTTGAAGGCTCCCTTCTGTATTTTCTCAACGAGCAGTCAGAATCCATCAAATTCTTATTTAATCTATTCAATAACATCTCTTAGGACTTGGTGATTATAGGTATAGCACAATTCTGCGTCTTTTAACTTTTGCATATCTATCGGCTATTCCTTTCACAAGCTCTACTCACACCAGGCTACTGAAGAGCTCATAATTGAATGTGAGGGAATATATCAATGTACAAATATCAGAATTCCTTCCGAATCCAGACTCTCCAAATTTATAAGCTGTCTAAACATAAATTAACTTCAGCTGAACATACCTCTTGTTGAAGATGCGGATCCACACAGTCACCATCATCATTGAACAGAGACTCCCAGCTCTCCCCAGTAGCAATACTTCCTTGTACGGAAGAAGTTTCAGTTGCTTTTATATCTATGGATGTTTCCAAGGATGAATCTCTATCAGAAAATGATATACCACTTTCTATATTATCTGAGTCATCTTCCTCTTTTGTTTTAAAGTCTTCAGGAGTCCTTAGTTCATTCAGTGCCTCTGTTGTATCACCAGTACTATCTGGATCACTGCCCAAGTCACTCTCCAAAAGCACTTTTGTCCCATTTGACATACTCAGTTCAGAATCCAAAACAGCGTTACAATTACTATCAGCAATCTTCTTAATAGGCAAGGAGGAAACACAATCTGACAAGTTCTCTATCAACTTTCCTGTTGACTCTGTAAAACTAGATGAAATACTCTCAGCACAAATATCTGAGCAAGCAGTTGGGTTGCTAGCATTTTCAGAGTCATTCTCACTTTTAGCTACACGAAGAGGGGCAGCACCTGCAATCATTTCTATGTAATCTGAGAAATTACTTGTACTGCTATAAGTCTCATTAGATTCTCTAACTGAAACTATACAAGGGCTGCCTACAGTTATACGATGACAAGCTATACCTGCAGTGTCCATCACAGACGGCTTACTGGTAGTGTCGCCTGAACTCTTAAATTCACTATCTGTATCTATTTCATGAGCAAGAGCAGTTGCATCAGAAGGCTCACGCTTTACACACAACTCTTCAGCAGTGCTGTCACTTTCACATTCTCTAATCACTGCTGGATCAATAATGCCATTTGTGCTCTCTAATTTGCTGACTATAGCCATTTTATAAGAACAGTTACCCATGCTCTCAGGAACAAAATCTACACCTTTCTGATCCAAGACAGAACCTGTGCTGTTGGTTTTATCATTCTCAGCTTCAAAGTCTATGCAAACTGGATTGACATCATCGGAACTTCCAGGAACAGACATAGCAGAGATGCTTCCACTGCTGAGCTTCACTATCTCCTCTGATGTTTCCATGCTTTGTTGCACAATTTCAGAATCAGAACTTAGTTTTACTGGTATAGTCACATTCTCTGGTTTCAACATAGTGATAAAAACCTCAGGAAACTGGGAGACTATCTCCACAACTTTGGCCTCAGTTTCAATTCTGGTTTCCAAATTTCTGTTTTCAAAAATTTCCCCTCTTGGTTCATGTCCATTGAAATCACAAAATTCAACATTCTGGAATGGTTTTCTCAGGGCTTGAGCATCACTGACTTCTGAATAAGACTGTGATGCAAGAACCCCTCTGTGTCCTGTCATCCCGGCAGTCTGAACTTCCAAACAGTCCATTTCCTTTGGTTTAAAATGTCTTTGTAAAGGTATACTAGTGACAACCCCAGCATCTGGGGATCTGTGATGATGTTCTGGAGATGGTAGTTCTTTGGATTTTATGGTTCCTCTCTTATCTTTATGCTTTTTTTGAAGGCACATGTCTTTCTTTAATTTTGATGAAGACTTTTTTCCTTCCCTATAGCTACACTCTTGTCTGTCAGGACTAACACCTAGTCTCTGAGCCTTGGGTTTATTGCCAAAGATCTTCTTTGGGGAAAGACAACCTTCCATTTGTTCTTTCACTACAGGGTCAGGTGGCTCACAACACTTTTTCTTGTCACCTGTCCTGAGAAGCACTGCGTCCCTTCGAGCTTTAGGGACATAAAGTGCCATGTCAGGCCTTCTGGTTCGAACTCTGCATGTCTCTGCTTCTTGCTGCATGGCACCACGTTAATCTGAAAGAAAAAGAGGTTTAATAATAAAAAATCCATTATAATTCAATTAAGAAAATTTTTAGACTAGGTAGAGGGCCTACTAATCCATCCTATGGCAATCCTTGAGTTAAAAAAAAAAAAGTAGCCCTCTGCTTCCCTGGGCTGTACAACCCACCAACCTCTTTCCTGGACACCAAGGCTGACCTCTAGGCCTGGAACGACCACCGCTTCCTGATCCCTTGCATCCAGATGAACCCAGTTCCTTCTCCCCACCCCACCTCCCTCTGCTTCCCTGGGCCTGCACAACCCGCCAGCCACTCTCCTGGGTAAGTTCAGCGCCTTGACTCCTCCAACCGCATTTACCTTCCCATCTCCCCTGCCCGCTGTCCCATTCCTTATCTTGGCATCCCAGACACCAGGGGAACGACCACTGTTTCGTGATCCTTTACATCTAGACCAGCCCAGTTCCTTCTGGCATCCTGCCCTAACCTCCATCTGCTTCCCTCAGCTGCACAACCAACCAGCCTCTCTCTCTCAGGAGCCCTCTGGGCCTGGTCCCGCTCGCACCTCCTTCTGCTTCCCTGGCCTGCACAACCCACGAGCCTCTTTCCTAGACACCAGGGCTGACGTCTCTGCTTCCTGATCCTCTGCATTCAGACCAACCCAGTTCCTCCATGCAGTCCCCAGGAGCCCTTGGGGTCTCTTCCCACCTCATCTCCCTTTGCATCTCTGGGTGGCATGGGCACCAGATGCTCGACACCAGCATATTTCCTGGGCCCTGTTCCTAGGCCAGTCCAACCCCCAAATTCCTGAGAACAGCATCTTTCCTGGAGGGATCCAGACCTTAGGAGAAAGCATGAGAGCATCTGATCCTCATCTGACTTGGGCCTCTGTGGGAACTCCTGGAGACAAAAGCAATCTGGCCACTCCAATATAAAATCAAAAGAGAGAACCGGAATATTAGAATAACCAACTTTAGATGGCCAAAAAGTAACCCACAAAGGCACATAAAGTTTAGAAAAAGAAACAGACCTAAACTTGAAGGCTTGAGTCTCACACAAGAATCAGA